GTTTTTTTTTTTGCTTATCAATTTTTTCAGGTGAAAAAAATCTCTGGTTGAACCCCCATTTTTAAAAACGATGCTACGTGCCTGGTTTGGTGATACATTGTACACGTCGTTACTTTAGTTGGCTAACTATAACAAATATCTCGCGATTTAATATCTAACTGTCAACATTTACATAAATTCTAATAAACAGCAAAATACACCTAGCAGATAAACTTACCATTTAAAAAAATCACATACTGCCCTTGAACATGACTCTGTACTCTGTAGCGTCCTTCCCTGGAAATACCCGGATGACCATAGCACGACTCAAAACAGAAATGTCATGTGTTTCATGGTGACGAAAACTTAAATATTTTAACCAGTTTTCAAAAATATGTAAAATCGTGTTCCTAAGCTTAAAGACACCATAAATTAATGCATGAATTAGCAAATTTATTTTTATATATGGGAAATAAGAAAAATAAAGAGACTTTTTAGTGGTGTCCTTAAAGCATAAATCTATTTACCTAAAAATATATATGCCGAAAATTGAATGCTATTTATCTACCTTTTCGATGCTTAAAAAATTTAAATGTAATTAAATTTTGTAAGATCATGTCAAACTTTATTTAAAGTCTACAACTAATGCTTACTGGATCATTCTGTAATTTAGGTATTCAAGCTTAAACATTAAGGGGACCAATTTGGTGTCCCCTTAATATCCGTGTCCCCCTAATGTATATATATGTGGATGAGTGGTCTCCTTAATACATAAAACCTCCATATATATATATATATATATATATATATATATATATATATATATATATATATATATATATATATATATATATATATATATATATATATATATATATATATATATATATATATATATATATATATATATATATATATAGATATAGATATATATATAGATATATTTAGGAAATCCCCCCAAAAAGTCAAAGCACATTTTTTTTTCTATTTTCTGATCCAGAAGATTGTGTGGAAGGATGGTAAGGGGAAATATCAATCAGCAGGCTTATTAAATAGAGAAACCAATCTTGTCAGGACATTGCCAGTAATTAAGTTCTCTGGCAGCCTATTCACAATAAAACCGCCAGAATGGCCAATAACGCTTTCTATCCTATTCCCCATCGGTCAAATCTGGTTTGTATGAAAATAAAATAGATGATCTCGACACCAGCATATATAGGACGTATCAAACTGGGTAGGGAGTTATAGATCCTTTAATTAGTGGAAAATATCGCATAGTTTAAAAATGCAGAGATATATTGCATGATTTGGGCTTAAGCATAACATACATTGAAAATCCTCTATAACTCAAACAGAAGATTAAAGCTGTTGATGAAGACCTAAAATATCCCTGATTTGCCCAAATTCATAGCGAGTTAATTAATTAAATGAGTGGAGTCTTTCCTAAATTAGATTTTGTTCTGTAAATAAAGATGTTTTATAGTAATTGTTAATGAGATTAATTCCAGTATTTCTGGTGTGAAATCACGTTCACACATACCTGGTAAATACAATAATTATATTAATTATTGTATGTTTGCTTCTCTATTTAAAATAACGATAACACGCAACTACGAAAAAGCAACAAAATTAATGATTATATTTCATCCAGAAATAAAATTAAGTGTGTGATATTTTTTTTTCCTTTTTGTAATCATTTGATTGATTGGGATACATCCTGTAAGTAAAATTAACATTAAACCCATTGCTGAAATGACTAATTCCAGTACTTGAATTGTACTTGTTTAAGGCCAACTTTAATTTCCACATCTGTTCTCATCCCATCAGAAATTAATAATTGTGCAGGAAATAAACTCTTAAATAATCCAGATTACAAGATTTATTGAAAATATTCTACTTAAAACTTAACTAATTTGATAATATACCACCACCCAAGTAAGTTGCATATAATGTCTACAAGGGTTGAGGAAAAAGTATTCATCTAAATATTTTATTTATTAATCTCATAAAGTAAAATATAGAGGTACTGATCAGTAATTAAGCTTGAGCGTTCAATACAATACATGTATATCGAGAGCAGAACGAACAAAGACATCAGAGGTTGGAACAGGTACCAGTGAGGAGTTAACATTTATTTTCCTGAATATTGTTCCTGCATGCAGTAATAAGGGTATACTGCTACCTATGGAATGGAAGTTAACCTGAAATAATAACGTCATAACGATTATTTTAAAGTTTTATTGTTAGGTCACCCTTAATTCCTTTTCTTCTAAAATATACAAATATAAAACATTGGTGTCAGGCTCTGTAGTATGTTTTATTTCAAAATCACTGGGATTTATCGAGGTTGGAATTCACATAAATTTATAATTGATTTGTAGATATAAACCATGACAATACTTTGTTTCCACAAAACTCTCTGAGTGATATATCAATGTTCATATATATATATATATATATTTCCATTTCTAATTTTTGTCTCTGTGATAACTCTTTGAAAGTTAGGGGGAGTTTATTTCTTGATAATTCTGCCGGAATGTAAATTAGGCAGGTCGATAGGTCAGGAGCTACGGAGGCCTAATACGCATGCAAATCTCGTGCGCATCTCTCTCTGTGTCTGACGCTAAGGTGTAAATCTCGTGCAGCTGCCTTTGTGTTTGACATCAGTGGACGAGGAATATTGAAATTGGCATGGAAGTCCTCATGTGATTTAAATCTATTAATCTACATTTTTTAAAGTCTAAATCTACAATTTTATTTCACAATGCAATGGAAATAGAAATATAAGGAATCACTGTCTAGTTAGTATAGTATGCCAGGGACATCAACGATAGTGGGAAACATGGGATAATTTATGCATAACCGGCTTCGCCCGTTATGCAAATTATCCCATGTTTCCCACTGTCGTTGATGCCCTGGCATACTACACTAACTAGACAGTGATTCCTTAAATATATGTCTATCTCTGGATAATTTACGTGACAAGAGGGTATAAGTAGTGTTACGTTAGGAATAATATCGAAGTACAAGTACCTCTGCGTTCATTTATAGATATATAGCAGAAATCCCATAAGACATGAAGTACTCGTACATTGCTTTCAAGATGCATAGAGATAAAAAGAAAACGATAATCTGCTCATAATATGACCAATATATATATTTCTTGTATGTTGCAAAGAAATAAATTTATTACTAAATAAAAGGAATATAAAAGTATTCTGAGAAATTTGAATTATAATTTGCATCATTATTTTGGGGAAATTTTCGCTCATAATTAAAACAAAAATGTGTGAGATATATGGACATTTCATTTCCTTTATAACGATTAAACACATCAGTTTTGATAAATGATATATTATGAATTAATGATTCCTAAGCACAATTTTGATAAGAAGATAATGAACAGACCAGCGCCAATGATACCAATTTGGAGCAGAGTTAACATTGACTTTCAAAACAGCAGAGAGTGCCATGGCTGAGTAAGCATCCCCTGGCGTCCGGTCACATCCATCGTGTGTTTCTTATCACGATCGTGCAAACGGAAGGATTCTCTATTCAATTCAGTGCGAAAATATTGGCTTAACAATATATACGTGAACAACTTGAGTCCATATTTGACTTGTGCTGCAAATCAAATTTCATATCAAAAAAGAACATAAATCAGGGCTTTATTGTAAGGGTGTACTTATGAGAATAGTTGGTTAAGAGGAATAACTCTCACTGTTAATCGGACAATCCACTACTCACCCGAAAGTTTTGTTTTAAGAATCACAGAAAATTCGTTTTACCAAATATATATTATAAATAAAAGCAGCATTGTTTTTCCTTTTTAGCCAAATTAACACTTCTAAAGGTCTTCCAAATGAAAACAAAAGGGTAATATGTTTAAATTATAAAGATACATAGGGCCACATTCTGATTTGGAATGTATTCAAATAAATCACTTCTTGCAGTACATGTACTTCTTTATTCTGCCTTTATATATAAGGTTTTGAATCCGCTAACAATGTTGTATCTGTAATTATGATATTCGGACAATTCAGAAAAAAATCTTTAGTATCCTTGAATTATAGTTGAAATCATCGTGATATTACAGGAAGTTAGATAATTCTTTCTAAGGAAAGTGAATATATCGCACTAAGTTTGTCTCCATCTTTAGCTATTTCAATTTGGGAACTGATAAAATATTTTTAACACAGACATTTGCATCACTATATGATATAATTACTCTATACATGTATAACCAGCGTTATATTAAGTATTTTTGTCTAAATGATTTTGATATCTCAGTGAATTGTATACTCAGTATATGCCTTCCGCTCTTATAAAAGTTATATTTCCAGTCGATCACAATCTTAAGCATATTTTCAATATCAACTTTAGGGCACTTGTGTGTAAAATCTGACTAATTTAAACAATATAAATTTTGCAATTGACCATTCAAATGGTTTGTAAATTTACAAGTTCAATCTTTATTGAAAAATCAGCTGTCTATGATGCCAAAACCCCAGACTTTAATGTATCGTGTGGGGGACGTTTGTATAATGCGTTGAGAAAAATGTACGTTTTAATGTTTTTGATTTTGACATGTTGTGATTTAAAATTTTTAAAAAGTTACTTGGAATTTTTATATTTACTTCAGATTTACACTATTTCTCGATTATATTGTTCTACAAAACCCCCGAAGTTTCTCCTTGATTGTTGTTAATATCTTAGTGAGGAGTAAAGAAAGAGACTTGGTAGAATATTAAAGAATCCACTGTGTATCTTTGTTTTAGATAATTTATATGAAGTAAAGAAAACCAATATATGTATGGTAATTCAATTTCATTTTGATTGGTGGGAGATATTAGAAATATTCAAAATTGACATAATTATTATTTGAAAAATTCTTCCTTAGAAAGCGAGCTAGATGAATAAGATTGATTACCAATTGCAGAATAAAATTCCAGTTTCTCTGAACTATACGTTCAAAATAATAAACCTTACAAACAGTATATGTTTCAAGAATTCTGATTAAAGTCCAAACAATAGCAAATAAGGAAAGTTTATAGATAAAAGGCACATTGTAAAGCCCCATAGAACAATATCAGACTATCAGTAAGAGAAGCAAAGAAAGAACACCCAAAACAAAGGAAGAGTAATGCAGAATCGGATATGAAGATATGAAGTGAGATCTAGAATCGTCAAGAAGTGGAAACACCGGGGAGAAGATAGAGGGCGGAAGTAAAATTCTGTTTATTCTCCATGGGATCAAATGCCTAAGTAACAAAGAAAGTTGAAAGTTATTTCAAGATATATGTAAAATTTTACTGTTTTCAAAAGTAGGTTCAAAATTCTATTTTTGCATGCCATGAAGGAAGGATTTTGATCAAGGATTTTCAAGAGGATGTCGGTTGAATATAAATCAATTTTATCGATTTCCGGTTTCAAGTTTTTTGAGAAATTTATTTGAAATAGTTGTACGTACTTTTAAATATATTTAAATATTTATCGGTATTAGGTTCCTTCCTCCATCACACTAATTTTAAACAGGGTCGAAACTAGGAAGAAGTCGATCCATGTCTTTTAATATAGTTTAGAAAGTTACCGTGAATGGCAGCTTCAACAACTGGATAACATGTTCAAAATTCTTCTCAACTGGGATTCAAGGTAAGAATCATATTTGATATACAGATAAGTAAAAAATGCATATCTTATTTTGCATTTATTCAAATGGTAAAAGCACTAAACGGAAATGTAACACAGATTGTTTTCCTGGTTGTGTTTGAGGGAATTGGGTCGGCAAGACTCACCTTTATGACCAAGTTAGTTTAGGAATCTAGAACATATACAATATTTGTACGTGTCTCTCTTTCAATATTTTCTTTTGTCAATACTGCCCTAAAGATATATAGGTCAATGACATTGTAAAGAAAAAATATCATTCAAACAGAGAAGTGCATGTGGAAGTTTTTAATACCTTTATAGACTATTCAAGTAAAATGGATATCCCAGCTTTTACTGTGTTTTGACATTTAGTTTTTTTAAATTACATACTTTACTAATTCCAAATATTTTTCTCAGAGGCTTCCTGGAAAATCTGACCATTCTTAAAGTCGACTTCCTTTTGTGTACCTCTTTTGATAATCGACAAGATAAATTATATCGTTCTACAAATACTAAACGTAAAAGATATACCGGTAACATGTATTTTGTTGCAATACGCAAAATATATCTATGAACCAGCCAATATTATTTAATACAATATTATTGATTTCAATTTTTTTTCAGATAACGATTTACTAATGAAAACCAGCATTATATCAAACGGTGCAATGACAAGGAAGAAGACCGAGGAGATTATAGTGTTTATATGCCTTGCTGTCTGCGGCATATCACATGCAGGTATATGCGGAACAAAGTGTATTTGGGAGCTCTCGGGTTGATATGACAAATCAATTGGATTTTTATATTGACTATTTTCTCTGAATATAAAAGTTGAAGATAACAAACAGTGATCAATCGGATATATCCGGTTTAAAATCGGGATCGAGAATAGGGAAAACACAAACCTACTAGAGACATTAGAGGCTGAGTCAGGTGCCTAGGAGGCGTAAGCATCCCCTCTGGCCGGGTCACTCACCCGCTGAAAGCCATATGTATATTGATCAAGTGGCCAAGGTAGCCAAAGTAGTCGAATTTGAACAAAAAAGCAATGAATAAAAATATATAAACTGATCAAATCAAACCCACCTTTTCATACATTTACATGTACTTGTGATTATTTTAGATACAAAATCGAAAAACCTATACAACTCATCTACTACTGGTATGTAATAGGCCTTGTATTGATTAAATTTCGAAATAAAATAATGACAAATAATTGTAATTCATAGTTGAAAATCTGGAGTAATTTGCGGTTACTGTAGTAAGTGCACTTACCTGCATGCATGTGATTTTGTAAATAAGCTCGATGATGAACGCGATAGCCAATTGATAATCTAACAGAGTCTAAGCATGCTCCGTATCTCATGTCCCTTATACAAAAGAATTATACAAAATCTATTTAATAAATATTTAGTACTTTACATCCTACATGTAGCTTTAACTATATGAAATTAAAAAATATAATATACTTACTTTTCTAGTCACCTCCTTGTCGACAGATACTAATTATGATACATCGACTGCTTCTTTGAGTAATACAGGTATGATGTACGTTAGTTTGTCATGCATTTAAATGTTGAACAAATATACTGCCTCTGCATGTAAGACTGACTATTTGAGAAGGATTAACATTCTGTTCTGCGTTTTTCTCATCTATTAATAGGAACAATTTTATTTTCAATTTAAAAAATAGTTTGGTTTTACGGTTAATAATCAATGTCATGGACCAAACGGTTTTGAAAGATAGTAAATGATTGAAATTTTTAAAACCATTCAAACGAGAATTGCAGTATATTTACTTTTCAAAAATATTTTAATTTTTAAGATTGAAACCACACCACGACGTTATATAGTTGTTTACTCTTATGAATTTTGATCAATTTATTCCGTGTACCAACACATGTGCATATGTCAAGCTGTAAAATGACAATTTTACAACAAACAGTCCAAAATATTTTATTCAAACTTTTGGTCTGTTTATAGGAGGGTGTGTTATTGTGTGTATCCGCCGACCAGAAAGCAAAGTTAAGATCAACTAGAGGTACTGGGAGCAATGAGCTCACTAAATGATACCCCCCGCCTCCCATATGAATATAATGGCAGTGTCCATGTTTTGCTCTGGAAAATCAAAAATATATGTCAGATCAAAAAGTAAAATAGGAGGTGCACAATGGCAATATGTAATTAAGAATCTGTGAAAGTTTCATTAAATTTCTTTCAGTGGTATGAGAGGAGTTGCGGATAAGAGATGGGTACCCCAAAGCGTAACAGACGGACGGACGGATGTACAGACGGCCGGACGGACGGACGGACGGAAATACCGATTACTATATATCCTCCCACTTTTCAAGCGGGGGGTATAATAAGCCCATGTATATTACAAAATCCCCTTCGGTGGGAAGGTTAAAACTAACTTGAATCCCCCCAAAATAAACAAATTAACAAGAAAGCAGCTTGCAACCTCCCAGGCACCGGCAGGATGAATTTATTTATGAGAATAATTTGCAAGATAGTCTGTTATCATTAGTAGGTGTTGTAAAATATTTAGAGGAAGCGAAACCATTGAAATAACGATTAAAATGTAAATGTAATTCTACTGTAGTCCATTCAAGATATTTTTTTCAATTTAGTTCTGTAGTAATGGCTCTTGAATAATGTTAAACGTTAAAATGCAAAACTTATCTGTTTGATATTCGATTACTAGTATACTCATTTCGAAAAATAATGACTACCAGTTACAAGAACATTTCCAATTGCGCTATTTAACAAATACATGTTTTGCTTTTATACTGGAAAAATGAACTACATATGTTGTATTATTAATAACAAAATTCTAGTTTTTAACACATTTAACCCAGAAGTCCACTCCTCACTGCCTGGTCAGGAAGCATCTTCTAACCAATCACTCACTACTATTCCAAATAGAGAAGGTAGGTAGAATATTATGGAACGCCATAACTGCCTTATGTGCAGAACTTGCATTATATGCTGGTACTTTGTCATTATATGATGGTATTTTGTCATTATATGCTTGTACTTTGTCATTATATGATGGTACACACTATTTGTCATTATATGATGGTAATTTGTCATTATATGATTATGGAACACCGTAACTGCCCTATGTGCAGAACTTGCATTATATGCTGGTACTTTGTTATTATATGATGGTATTTTGTCATTATATGATGGTATTTTGTCATTATGTAATGGTACTTTGTCATTATATGATGGTATTTTGTCATTATATGATGGTACTTTGTCATTATATGAGGGTATTTTGTCATTATATGATGGCAATTTGTCATTATATGATGGTATTTTGTCATTATATGATGGTAATTTGTCATCATATGATGGTACTTTGTCATTATATGATGGTATTTTGTCATACCATAATAAATACCATAATATAATGACAAAGTACCAGCATAAAATGCAAGTTGTGCACATAAGGCAGTTACGGCGTTCCATAGAACATTAACTTTCAACCTGAAATACTAAATTTGGAAAAACAATTATCTGTATGTATTTGTTTCTCTTTTTTACAAAAGAGGAGATATATGAATTTTATTTATAATTGCGTCGAACGAAAAAACCTAAACGAAAACATTAGTTAGACTTTTAATTATAAAGTATATTGTTATTCTACTTCAGTTTCAATAACAACACTCCCCCAGGACAAAGTCGGCGTCATAAATCAGATGGTACCTTACGCTGTCCTTGTTGGAGTAGGAATACTTTTTCTTCTCTTTATTGTCAATCTGATATCAGTCGTACAAAGAAGGTAATTTCTTTATTTGATTCTTTCTGCTCAATTTTATTTCTACTCTAACACGCTTTGTCTGTTCAAAGCATTCTTATTGAAACCCGTAACGGTAGAATAAAGATTTCGGATCTTGCATATGGATGTTTCATAAATCAGGACAAGAGATCACACGACGTCATCTCAGCAAATTGGTTGTAATTCCGAAGAAACAAGATGTTTGTATCCCTAACTTGTAGGTTTGGTGCATTAATGCATTCTTAATTTTACTCACGCGTCTTTTGTAATTGTTTCCTTCTTCCTTTTTTGGTGTATATTGTAAACAATATCATTGTTTATTCTGTCAGCAGCTTGACCCTGAGTAAAGATGACACATTTTATATTAACAAATATTAGACTGAAATAAGTTCCCTCCAGTAACAATTATGTTTACTTACAGAAAAGATTCAATTTGCTGATTCATTCAATGATTTTTTTTTTTACAGAAAAGACCATCATGTTATTCAGAGCTATCTTTTGTCTTTACATACTCTTTTACCGTTCCTTCGTAACTATGCCGAAATCGCCATTGACGAGGAAGATCCAAAAGTGAAAAAGTCTTCACAAGGCAAAGTCTTTGGAAACAATATAGAAGAGTACGATGAGATTGAAATTGTCGCCCGTAGATCTAAAACGAACGAGGCTAAGGATACCAAGCGTGTGTCTGAAGCTGAGCATTCCAAGAAAGTGGACACGTCAGAGGAAAAGAAGGAAGAAGAGGAAAAGAAGAACAGAAGTAACGTGTATTCTCTGCAGAAAGAAATATTCAGCAGTGACCTCTAGAATTTTCTTTCGATTATTTTATTTTTTCAGTAAAAAGTATGAAATTTAAATCTACATTTATAATAAAGAGATAATAATCTATAAGAGCTGACAGTGACTCTTCTTGGCACAGTTACCGTACGTCACCGTTTATTTAGGGCCATTTGACTTTCTGATTTAAAGTAAAACTGAAGGACTGTCTGCAAGTCAGACTTCAAGGTTAATGACAAATTAAAACTTTATTTTTCCTTGTCTATGTATATTCCACGGTGTAATGTCTCTATGGAATTACTTACAAACATCTGTCAGTTTTAATTTTATCTGTTAAAAGTTTATGTTTTCATATTTAATGAAATAGTTGTAATACTTACATGTATCCAATATATGTAGCGTGGGAAACGATATTCCTTTTCAAAGTACGTGTATATGACGATAGTCACACCAGGCTGTTTTCCCTAATTTTATAAGGTTCTTGATGATGCAGAGGACCTAATCAATGTACATATTTACCAATTGACTCGAATTCCAAACAATTAAAAGATTTATAATCATATGACAATCAACCCCAAATGCACGATTCAAAATGTGTCTAATGAATAAACTTATATTTTTCATTGAAAAATCTTTAGCTGTGTTTCTTAACACAGTTGTTCTTTACAAATAAAACTGGATAGATATTAAGACTATTTTTGTCTGTATTTCATATGTTGAATTTTATTTCCTTGTTATATGTTCATCAGCAAGAAATTTGACACTTAAAACGACATAATTTTTAGAAAACTAAACTAGGAATGCTATTAATTTTTAAAAATAAACAACTATGAACTGAATAACATGTACGGATGTTCAAAATTTTTTATACAGAATAATTCTGTAGTAAGAATTAATGAATTACTGCTAGATTAGCCGCTTTTGTTAAAATCATATATGAATACGGAAATACAAAAAGCCTGAGAAAAAGCACATATAAAGTAACGTGGGTTCAGATAGGGCTTGAAAGCCAAAAAACTGTGTATCCTGTGGTCAAAACGCTCGCGATGAAAGAAGACAACAATAACGAAAAGTGATCGACCTTAAAATTGTATACACAATACAAATCTGTGAACAGGTATGAAACAATAAAAATTAATCAAAAAAATTTAAAAGAGAGGGAATAAGATGCCTAGGAGGAGTAAGCATCCCCTGTTGACTAGACACACCGGCCATGTGCCTCAATTGATCAGGAAGCCGGAACTTTCCGTAGACAGATTCAGTATAAAAAAGACCTATCATTTGGAATTTAAAAAAAACAATTCAGCAGAAACACAATCTTGCTAACAAGGTTATTATAACGGCCATAGAATTTACGAAATGGTGAGACCAGGTTCATTTTACGAATACACATACCCGGTATCAGGGTTTTCCATTCGTTTGAAATTTTACTGTGTTACAGAGTTTACGCAAAGCACTAAAATTTCGCGGTATTTTCGCTATCATATTTGCAACTGAATAACTATTCTTTATAATTACAAAAGAATACATGTACATATTTTTTGTAAAAATCACTAATTTGTTACACAAAATTAATGGTATTGTCGTATATACTAATAAACGTAAAAACACATGGTCTGAAAAACAGAGGAAATTCTGAACGAAACAGTCGAACTACTTACAATTTTTGAAAGTAAGTTTAACGTGATTGTTTGTCAGTTTTCTTCATCAAATTAAATTTATCAAAAAACAAAAGTGTTCCGTTTTGTTCTTTTGAAATCTGTTTTGGGATGAGGCAAAATTGCTGGTTTGTTTCTGGGCAAAAATATGGATGGAATCCCTCAAGTTTACTCTTTCGGACTTGGCGGTTTTTTAACCCCACCTTTCCATATTTATTGTCATTTATTTCGTCATTTTTGTTAAAACAATGTTTGACAATACTTGCATCATCTGATCATATATATTTGTGGTAATTTGAATAAATGACCTTTCTCACAAAAATGAGTGGTTCTATTTTCTAATTGCAAATGAACTCAGACTCACTGGAGAACAAAACTGGTTGTTAAACATGTTGACAAATAAACATTTTATATAATTGGAAAAGAAGATAAAATGAAATCGAAGTTACTTCGTACTGGAAAAATTTGGGTGACAAAAAATATTTACGTTTATATGAACCTCAGGTATATCGATAGCAACTTTTGGTAATCTTTCTTGACTTCCATGGAAACTGATAGCTTCTCTTTTGTATATATAAAATGATAGAATTTTTCATTCTTTTAAACAGCACCTCATACCTGAAATATAAATACCGAAAGGCAATCAGAAGTTGGACGGTTATTCGCTATTCGCTATTCGCCATTCGAATGGCGAACCGCAGGCTGTCTGCCGTTCGCTATTCAAATTACCGTAAATGTCCTAATAATTTTTTTTTCAAAAAACTTTAAAAACGCATCATAATCCGTGTTTAAGAAGAAAAGCAAAGACTTCACTTAAAGAAGAGGACTGAGGACCCCAAACCAATGCAGCTAGCCTGACCAAAATGATGACTATTTAGCTAGCCTGCTAAAAATTGGATAAAAAAACTGTTGAATACAATAATAAGTATTTGTACAATGTACATCTTCAAATTTTTACAGGGGAGGGGTATGGGAGGAACCCTTCCACTGTCAAATGGAATTTATTCCGGGAACCCATTTAGCTAGCCCGGAGAAAATTCGGAAAAATCCCTTTTATTTCTATTTTATGTTTTTTGAATAAGAGTACATCGCCGGGGGGCTGGTAAACATCCTGGATCCATATTTAGACTTTCATATTTTTATAGGGGGGGGGGGTATGGGAGGGATCTTTCGACTGTCAAAAGGAATTTATGTTACAAAACCGGGAACATATATAGCTAGCCCGGATAAAATTTAAAAAAACCTTATAATTCTATTATATGTATTTCTGAATAAGGGTACATTGCCCTGGGGTCTGGCTAACATCGAAGATCCCATATTTAGACCTTCATATTTTTACAGGGGAGGGGTATGGGAGGGACCCTTCCACTGTTAAAAGGAATTTATGTTACAAGACCGGGAACCCATTTAGCTAGCCCGGAGAAAATTGGAAAAAAACATATAATTCTATTATATGTATTTCTAAATAAGGGTACATTGCCCTGGGGTCTGGTTAACATCGAAGATCCCATATTTAGACCTTCATATTTTTACAGGGGAGGGGTATTGGAGGGACCCTTCTACTGTCAAAGGGAATTTATGTTACAAGACCGGAAACCCATTTAGCTAGCCCGGATGAAATTGGAAAAAAAGCCTTATAATTCTATTATATGTATTTCTGAATAAGGGTACATTGCCCGGGCGGCTAAATATCGGGTTCGATATTCAAATATATCTACTACATGTTTACTTTCTATAAATAGCAGGCAAACCCCTTCTCTTTTGGAAGAACCCCCTGGATTTGATACGAAACTATGTTTAGCTTTCACTTGTGGTACTTGTTAATAAACAATTGCATCACATTTGTATTTACGTCAGAAATTGGAAGAAAAAACCTCGAGGTTGTTTTCTGATTGTTTAGGTGCGATTGATTGAACAATCATCGGTCTTGGAGACATCTTAGCCTTGTAATTTGTTTTATATTACGACTTTTATTTTGCCCCCGTAAACGAAATGGGGGGGGGGGGGCTTTATAATTTTTTCGTCTAGATGTTTAGCTGTCCCTCTGTTTGTTGGTCCGCAAAAACTTTAACCTTGGCCATGCCTTTTGATTTAGTGGAGCTATGACTTTCTCATTTCACATGCGTATTTCTTGTGACCATTCTATGGATACCACCAAATTTGACCTTTTGACCTGGTAGTGTGACCCACTTTTACACAACATTTCCAAACTTTTTCTTTGTCCGAATCTTTTGAACAGTAGATGCCAGGACATTTATAATTCATATATATTTTTTATGGAAAGACATTTTATTTGATACCAACAATTATGACCTTTTTTTTAACTTGAACTTGTAGATTTCTATCCTTGTGAAAAAACTTTAACCTTGGCCATAATTTTTTGAACGGTAAGGGATAGGGCTTTCCTACTTCACATATATAGTCCTTGTGAGTAGTTCCTTTATTTGATACCAAGAACTTTGACCCTTTGACCTTGAAATTTGACCTACCTTTAAAAAGCAAACCTTGACCAAAACTTTAAAAGGATAAGGACTAGTGCATTTATACTTTACATATTTCATCCTTGTGACAAGACCTTCCTTTCTTTGCGTACCACCAAATCTGAACCTTTGACCTTGGCCTTGGACCTACATTTCAAAATTGACAACCTTGACCCTAACCTTTGAAGTGGTAGGGCTTCCATACTTCACATATGTATTTTTTGTGGCAAGTCCTTTCATTCGGTACCAATAACCATGAACTTTTGACCTTGACTTTGGAGATTTCAGTACTTATGAAAAAACTTCAATCCTGGCCATAACTTTTAAACGCTAAGTGCTAGTGATATTTCACATATGTAATCCTTTTGACAAGACCTTTCATTTAATATAAAGAATTATGACTTTTTGACCTAGGAGTTAGACCTACTTTTTAAACTCGGTAACCTTGGCCATAACTTTTGAAGGGTTAGAGCTAAGGCTTCCATGTTTTGCATATGTATTCTTCTTTGCAAGACCTTATAATGGATACTAATTGCCTTGACCTTGGAGATTACTTATGAAAAAAAAACTTTTAACCTTGGCCTACTTTCATATTTCACAATTGTATTTCCAATGAGAATACCCTACTTTGTACACAAATATATTAAATTTGCATGTAAGAAATGTTTGACCTTTGCTATGTTGCCATTTGGGGGCATCAGTGTTGCACAAACACATCCTTTTTTAAATTTATTTCTCAACGAAAATGAAGACAAATTCTTCATTTTATAGTAGCAATATCTAAAATATTTCATTTCATTTTCAAAAAGTTCATTTTTTCAGTTGCAAAAATTTCATTTTCAACTTTTGTTTTATATGATACAGATATAAATCCACAGATACAGTTGTGTATATCGACTTCAAAGAAAGGGGCAATACTCTTTTTATGAAGTCGATATATCTATGGATTGATTGACTGAAAGGCCTATGTTTGTTTGTTTTTTTAACTGAAATAAATAAAACAAAATGACTTGTATAAGCCATACGTTTCATCTTTCTTCTTTTTATCTGAAAAAGAAGTTTTAAGGGGTATATAGGAATTATCTAGGAAATATCTGTTCGTTTCGATTGCTGTC